CTTTAAGTACCGCCAGTAACACCTTTTGAGCCTATTTATGCTTTACCAAGTAATATAATTTATAATACATTAAAAGAATTTTGACGAAATTTTTAGAGCAAATGTAAGGCTACTATTAGTTGATACATGTAGATTATTTGATGCCACTTGTTCGACCACCTCTGCGATTTCGTCATGTTTTTGGTGAACCTGCAAGGCGTGATGAATGTTTTGAAGGGATACCTATTTCACGGGCAACCCATGATGGCCGTCTGACGGCCTGCAATCCTTCACTATTAGCCGTCACTATTGAGTCAGCCGGCGGTGGATCGATAGCTATTGTTCCTATATCAAAGGTAAATAAAGTATATGTTTATATATTTTTTAAGATCAAGTTAGTCTAATTGTAAAATAAGCTAGTTTATTATACTATCTCCAATCCCATAAAATTTAATTTTTATAATTTTTGAATCATTTCTTTTGGTAACTTGCTTCATTTTAATCTTCAAATTTCACGTTTTAACACTTTTTATGTTGTTAGAAACGATTCATACGTTTTTTGAATACATCCACTAAATTACCCATTATACATATAAATATAAATTTTTTTAACATTAAGAACAAGACAAGACTTTCGGCAAAATTTTTGATTTAAATCAAGGTAACTATATGATAAGAAAATATTTACTTTTATTTGCTATAAATCTAGCCTGGAAGATATGAATTCGCTTGCCTTCCTAGGCTTTGTGGCCATTCCGGCCCAATTATTGACGTAGATTGGAATCCCTTTGATGATCTTCTTTTGTCTACTGCTTCTGAAGATGCCACCGTAAGTTTTTAACACTAAATATTTTGAATAACTTGTGACAGCTCTCATATTTTGATAATTTTTCAATCAAAAAGCGATACGATTTTTAGTTATATGATTATTTGTCTTATCCAAAACCAATAGCTATTCTGTCTTTACATCCTAAACAAATGTACTGTTATCAATACAATCCTAATATTATTTAAACACGCTTTTCGAGGCTTACTCCTTTTTAAATTTCTAGGAAAGAATTGAAATTTCGGTAGTTTAAATGTTTAAGTTACTCCCAACTCACAAATAATTATGTAATCAGTAATAAGAATATGAAAATTAACTGTTTTTTAGAAATAGTTTCCTTAGAATATTTTGCAGTATTCATTTAAATATATTAACTCTCCTCCGTTCTTAACCCATTAGGATGTTATGAAATCCCTTAAAAGCTTAAACTATAAGGCATTAATAGTAAATAGACTTCGATACTATCAGTATATCTAGAATTAGAGCTTTAGTCACTATAAATTGCACAAAAGGGTAAAGGAATGATAGTTTAATTTCCACACAATGATATGAGTAGGTCAGCAGGTCCTATGAATGATATACTGATATTATCCAAACCTAATCAGTGTAAATATTTGTGATATAACGAATATAATCGTAGATTACAAATTTGCATTATCGACACTCCAAATATTAAGAGGTATATGGGAAATGCCTGGTTTACCTTGAAATCACTCCTGTCCTGTGATCTACTAGCACTCGTGGCATTCTGGTGTAGCGATAATATGTCGAGATTATGCGCTGCATTACTCGAGTTTGATTATCGTTGGAGCGCTGATGAAACCTAGGCCAGATCTATAAAGCAGTACACCTCGGATAAGAATACCTTTCGGTAAGCAAGGATGAATAAAATTCCATTGCTTCATGAGGCCTACTAAAATAAAGAGGATATTCAACTATCAGTCTTCTAACAAATTATGTGGCACAAAGTGATTACATTTTTTATGTTACGCTTGGATTTCATCACATTAATCCTATTTGAATACCAAGTATTATCAAAATTACATATAGTATCGTTCTGATATGACGATTTATTATAGTATAATTTTTACCTTATATTTTTAATCAAAGGTATGAAGACCAATATAGTGTGGTCTTTTGTGTGGTCGCAGTCTCCTTTCATTGTATATAAGTTGTTTGACCTTGTTTTAGCAACTTAGTCATATTGGTAGGAAGAATTAGAGGAACGCATCTAGTCCGGAGTCCATCGTATGCATGATTATTTCCAGAGTAGGACCATGGACGTTTGCCGGCATCATAGTGGGCATCTTCCGTGAGTTTCGCTATTCTTAGTACCATACAACAACTCGTCAAAAAAGACAAGTGAAGCCGATCCTTTGATCAAACGTGTAATAAACAGTTGTGGTA